AAGTCTATTGACATGGATAGCTAATGTAAAGAACTAGACATATGTTTATGCTACTAATTTATCATAAAAGTTGTATCCCCATATTGCCATGCCTTCACAAGTGAAATTCTTCATCACCTGAAATGAGAAACTTCACCTGGAATTGAAGAAACTTCATCACCTGAAATTCTTCATCACCTGAAAGTAAAACATGAAAACTAACATGTGAATTCCACATTACAAGTATGTAACGAACTCCATCTGTGAAAAGTTTAATTGTTGATATTCAACAATAACAAATTTTAATTATAAATTTAATGAGAACTGAAGCATATTGAACATCTTGAATGGCCCATAAAATATTTCAAAAAAATAATTGCTATACGATGTATCAAGTGAGACGTCACACGCAATATGTGTTGCGTGACATTACTGCAACATCTTCCCTCCAACTCTTTAGTTACATTTGGGCCTGAGTGAACATGGTGGTCAGTGGTGCATCCTCCATTTTCTGGATATTGTGAATATTTTTGATTGTTGTATAGTGAATATTTTACACTGTGATATGTTGTAGCTCTAACATCTTGATCTATGCAGTTATAATGCCTTAAGCACCAATGGCATGAACTGTGAAGCTGAAAATATGAACCGCAACCTACAGTAGGTAATTGTCAGTCATTGTTGGCATTTTCAACCTTTGGAAGAATGTAGGACATTATAACATTCACTTCATTTTTAATTTCACTTTGTGGATTGCAATTTGCATACATTGCATTGTATTATATGTGTATGTTCAGTATGTTGTATTGTAATGCTTTACTCAGTCGGCTGATTTGGAGAAAATTATGACTTGTTCTGACCTGCTACTTTGACAATTGACACTTGGTAAAGTTATAATAATATTAATAATAATAGCCATTCATTAGGCTGTAGGCCTGTCATCAATTCTTAATTTCACAGAGCATTCACAGCATGTTGCGGTCTCAAAGTAATGATAAGACTCGAACACACAAGTCACTGCTTCAAATTCTGCTGTGCTTAACTGCCCGGCCTGCGGCCTCCTTGACGATTTGGAGCAGAAACTGCCAAACTGGCACACAGAGTTGGGATCAAACCAGCACCTCTCTCAGGAGTCAGGCTCTCTGCTCCAATCCCGGTACTCTAAACTGTAACCACTGGGCTACCCCTGCCCCCAAATGCACCTGTTATACTTCATTCTAAGAATGAAATATTTAAAAATAACTAAATTTTATAGTATTTATTTGAAATTAACTTCATATTTAATATAAAAACTTTAGGTAACTATTAATCTTTGATATTCTAAAAACAAATTATTTAAATTTTTAACTTTAGTCAGTCAGAAGTCCTATCTATTTTACTATCTCCCATTAAGGCATTAACTGGGCACACTTTGCCTGGTTGCCACATGACACAACTCAGAATTACTGAATTAGACACACACAGCTCGTTCCAAGCTATGTCGTAGCTATTCCAGACAGCAACTTTGGGTCCAGGGCCCAGCCTCCAGCCTCCAGGCTGCAGTGCTACTGCTACACTCTGCAGCACAGCAGCTGAGCAGCAGGGCCCCAGGGGGCCAGGCATAGTGGCAAACCACAGATTTTTTAGAATCAGTTCATTTTTAATTTCCTCATTTACCCAAGATTTAATTCAATTTCTTATGTATGATACTGCTGGTATCCAGGATACTTTACTGGTCTACTTATAGGACTCACAAATGAACTTGAGGGAGAGTCTAAAAAACTCTCTGCTTTGCCCCTATGGGGCCAGGGGCCCAGGGACAGGAGGCCAGCTCCCCAGCCGTATAAGCCTGTGCCCTGTAGACATAGACTGAGTGTAGATTCTGTAGAATGTAGTGTAGTGTACACTGTACGCCACGGTGTGTGGTGTGTGCTGTGTTGGAGTTTCAAGAAGTAAGAACTTTGTTCTCATTATCACTTTTAGGCATGTCTGACTCTGACATTAACATTGTGATTTGTGCATGCTGCATGTAGGTATTCTCTTCAATCACAGATTACAATTTCAAAATGCATAGTGATGCTGATGCAGATAATAAAATATAGACTAGGCCTAGTATGGATTATGTAATATGGATAGCCTATGCCGATATGACAACTTGACAAGTTTGCAAAGCAAATGGTTGAAGCACAACAAAGCAAATTAAAAAAAAAAAACAATCTGTTTTCCACAATAGGTACTGTCTGGTAGTAGTAATACAGAGATAAAATATAAACAGTAAAACGTAGTAGGTATAGGCTAAGTAACGGTGAAAGTTCCTTGTCAGCATCGCCACCATAAATTAAAGGTAAAATACCTAGTTCAAGTTTGACACAGAAAAACACAATTTGACACAGAAAAACACAATTTGACACAGAAAAACACAAGTCTTTCGGTCATGTAGAATTTTTTAATTTTTACATCAATTGCGGCAATAGCTACGGTCTAACAATTGCAAAATTATTTTCTGGAAGAACACTTAGGCTAGCAGCTGGACCCCTGGAACTACGGTAGCTAACTTCGAATTTAAGTAGGTATTAGGTATCCTCATTCCTCAACACCTCAAGATTATGCAATCAGAGGGTCTGTCTTCGATTGTGAACATTGCAGAAATTTCACCACTTGCTGCGAGTCTAGAACACGCAGCCTGCTACTCATCTTGATGTACAATGTACATAACCGCCGAATAATTTAGGTATGATAAGAACGTTTACGTTAGAGGTTAGCCTACATAAGTTTCATCCGAAGTCCTTTCAGTAGATTGACTCAGAGATATTTTGAATGACATAAAATTCTGTTGTAAAACTTACAAATGAAACCGATTAAATCTTCACAACCTCACCACAATCGCCAATAAATTAATCTAAAAAGCGTACTCAATTTTCCTCCATATATTCATTTACTTCGTTTTAAAAATTTTCGGCGCTCTATTACTGGGAAATTGGTCGCCTGCGAGATCAAACTTCTGTCTATCTGTGGAAGGTCGATGCTATGCCTGGTATGCCATCAGTATGTAGATAGTTTTTGCTGCATAAAGACATAGAAGGCTTGCTGGTTGCGTATCGTCACCGTGAGGTGACGCGTTCTTGCCGATTTTTTTGGGGGGGTTCTTTAGCCAGCTAATGAACTTAGGTTCATTCGCTGATGGTTCTGTTTACTTCCGAGATGGAAGTTAACAGAGGTCGGCCAACGCCAATTAGCCCTAGCCAAGCACAGGTTATTACTCGGCTACCAGAAAGCCGTTCGTTGCCTGAAAATCCGTGCAGTAGCAGATATCACCTTACCAAGGCAACCCGTTCGATAGTAGAAACTTATCGGTTTGTCGCTGCAAGGATTTTTGAGGAGCACTTGCCCCCTCACTCTGTTCCAATTCGCCGCAAGAACCCTCGTGCGGTGACAGCCGAGTAATTTACAGCGTCTATGTTGAACCATTTCTTCCACAACGCCTTCATCGTAGCTGATCGTATTCGGGATTTCTACTCCGCCTGTGAGCATGTTCGTTTTTAGCGACAAATATCTTCAATAGAGAAATGTCGGGCATACCGGTGTCTTGAGAATAAAAATTGAAATCGCAAAAAGTGTACAAGTCGATTAATTATTGAAAATAAATGTGCAAAATGTTCGTACATCACAACTGTTATAATAGAGAGTAAACATTTCCACGGACGCAATTGCTGCATATGAAGGGAAAATTTTAAGGTGAACCTGCTTAGTGAAGAAATACCAAAGGAACCAGCTAAGCCTGTCCGAGGTTTTCGGGGCTCTCAATAACCCATTTGAGTCAGTGGTAATGTAGCTAGGCTGAGTTGGCTAACGAGAGATACCTTACTGATGCTATACCAAGCGGTTAAACGACTGTTCATAACGAAGAGCTCAAAGAGAAAAAGACCGAAAAAACACAAATACAACACTTTTCAATATTTATGGGGCAAGTTTTGATTTAGACATCTAAAATCGTTCAATTTATATCGACTTGCATACTAATACATTTAAATACGATTCCTCAATTGAATCTAGCACGGCCGCTAAATCACCAAAGTTTCAAATCAACACGGGAATAGAATTATTGGAGTACATTTTTGTCATACTCGGAGGAAAAATAAATCTCTAATAATAGCGAAAAAGTAAAATAATTCACATTGAATCCCAGTATAGTAGTAAAAATGTGTCGATTTATCAAGTGTGACCATCGAAAACGGAGATCGAAAATTTACACCATTGTAAATTTACATTGCGTTCCGAATCGTCATAGATAAACAAACACGTGAATAGCATCAAAATGTTGACGAAATATACGCTATTTACATAAACAAAATTGCGCCTGGAAATCATCGAAATTTATTAGTATTTGAAACTCAACATTGACATAAAATAATCCAGACCATTAAAAATCTGGAGAGCCGTACCTTATTCAACATGTGGTAGTAATGTCTTTACACAATTGGATCCACTGGCTTTGTCTCAATTCGTTTGCAAAGTTTAGAGTTTGAAGAGTCGTACTTAGTTAAGTACGCGGCACAAATATCTATTGACTACTTGATCCACTCACCTCGTCAAACGTCTTACTACAACGAAGTCAAATCACCAAAAAAATTACCCCAGCTTTGTACATTGATGAAATAGAATGATTAAAGTTTAACAATAACTGAGATTGATGAGGATATGAGGTTGAAGAATAATGCATCAGTTACGGAACTTAAGACGTTAAAAATAGATGTCAGTAAGAAGAACAGTATTTCTAAGTAGGGCCTAGAACGAACAATAAAAGCTCAATGTCATACAATACTATTCACAATACTTATAAATATATTAAATAGGATGCGTTATGCTGTTAACATCTTATTTTGATAGCAAACTAATAAGTGCGTTAATCATATGCTGTAAGGATCTGATCATCCTCAAATTAGGCAGTATGAGCTTAGCTTCTGTCAAAGCAAAATCTTTTTTTAAGAGCGCAAAATGTTCGTTGGAGATCTGGGAATAGACTGCAATGATAACCTGAAGCTTTTTGCGCTGCTTGAATCTTCTTAGTGAAATATATATTGCAAAGACATAAAGACATGGTAGTAAAAATACTGCTGCGTTAGTTCGTCAATGTTGTCACTTATATTCATGTTATAGAAAAGAGACATGAGGTGGTCATGACACTCATGGAAGCTAAGGAAAGAAGATCAGCGCTAGCGGTGCGTGGCGGTGAGCAGTGCAGAGGAGACCCTAGACATGGCACGCCTCATAACCCGAAGCCTTGACCAATAGGACGGGGAGAACACATCTTCCCAACTGCAACGAAAAGAAGAACATTTCAAATTCTAATTTGGAATCAGAAAGACTCTCGAGAAAAAAAATCTCACGGCAAAATAAATTTTTCTGAGAATAAAAACGAACTAAAACTGCAATATTTTTGAAAAATGTGCAAACACCAGGATCATGTATGTTTAGAAAGTGGCAATGACAACACACGCGATTTTATTTGTAGTGCAAAAAGCAAGTGAAATTTTTATAAAATTAATAGCGAAAAATTCAAGTATAGAACAATTTTAAATAACAATTTGAGAGATACATTCACAATGAACAAAATCATTAGGAATCAAATCTCTATACTATGCTAGCATAAATTCTAATCTATGACTAGATCGTTTATTATTAATGTAAAAATTTAAACTGCCGGAATTAAAAAGAACTTACATTTGCTTTTACGTTGTTTACTGGCCTGCACAGCTCGTCTAATAACAGTCCAGTCTTCCAGAATATCTTCATCCCGCAACCTGTATACGATGTACGGGCCGTCCACCACTGCCTTACTTTCCTTACGCTCACCTCCCTCCTTAAACAAACAAGAAAATATCTCACACATAATAAAAATTTATTTCGTAGTAGTGGGTTTTCTAGCGCTTCATAAAATCATAATCTCTTTCGCGCCGAAGGTCAAACTCTCATTTACACATCGTCATTGTTCTCGAGTATTTCAGGCCTGTAATCTAGTCCACTCAGGCGGTGATGGCGGTCGTTCTCTTTTGTATTTTCAGTGCGGATGTCCGCTCAAAGGTTCCCATCGCTCGGTTCAGCGATGAAGGCGCGCTGTCGCCAGGGTTTGGCTAGGTCGTACGATTAGTGTGTGTGTATCACGTTAGTGTACTTAGTCAATTTGTTTACACACGTGCGATTAATAGCCAAAGAATTCATTGATTTACATTTTTAGGTAACCGAACAAAGATCTGATTCATGAATGAATTCAAGGATTTGTTCGGCTACCTGACATTTTAAATCAATTAATTTTCTGGTCATTAATCGCATGTGTGTACATAAGCATATTCTGCCATCTAATAATAATAAATATTTGGAAAACAATTGTATTATATATGCAACACAACCCAACAGGTTGAGTACTTTATTGGCAATTGTAGACCACGCACCTTATGCGAGGCCCTGGGCGAGCGTCTTAGGTTCTTCTCGACCCAGAGGCGGCTGGTGAAGGTGACGGTGTGTCTGTCCTCCTGCAAGTGCCGGATGCGCTCCTCCAAGTCCTCCCATAACGCGCACATCAGCAGCACTTTCTCGTTCTGGCCGCGAGATGACAACATTGAATAGCTAACAACATTGAAATTACACCACAAAATTTTGAACCGTACACTGCTGACAAGGAGATGACCACTTTGAATAGCCAACAACATAGTAATCATTCCTCTATGTTATGAAACTTGTACAACTGACAATGATATGACAATTTTGAATGGCCAACAAGCTAGAAATTACACCACTAAATTTTAAAACTTATACAACTGTCAAATTTAAATTGGCTTTGAATACCTACATAAACTGTTTTTATAGTATTAGACTATGAATATATATATCACTGAAAATCAAATCAGTAACTAGGGTAAGACAACATTGAACCAGCTGGTATGTAAGAAAATTGTGATATAATTAGTCCTAGAATATCATCACACCAAAACATAGAGGAAAAAATTGAAGATGAAATAGTGGGATGTTTTTCATAAGATGAAATTAAGTAGCCAACGAATAAATACAAAACAAACGACAAGTCATGAATGCAAAATAGTTACAACTATTGACAAGTTCAAGTATCAAACCTCATAATTTTGATTGGCAGCCATGATTTCAGCTTCATATTTATTTTGTATGTTCTTTAAACGAAATTTCTTCATAACATCGGCAACTTGGAGTCGTACGGTGTAGGCTTCTTTAAGTTGGTTGAGGGGAGTTAAGTACTCAGCAGCTTCACCCTTTCTGACACTGTTGAGTCTTTCCTCGACTTGACTAAGGCGTTCTCGGTAAAGTCTGGCGGTTAAAATTAGCATTTTAAACAATGCTACAAGACAGTAAAAAGAAGCTGTTTTTTTTCAATTTGCTCTATTTCCTTGCAATGCTAGTGAAATTATATGCCTTATTTCAAATTATTCAGTAACAAAACCAATAATATTCATTTACTGAAATAATATATAATTTTATACTATAATATTTGATATTATGATATAAAAAACTGGATATGCTGTAAGAAAACAATACAAGAGTTATTGTATTGTAAGATATGATGGCAACTGGAAAGAGATCCGTCTTGAGGGTAATTAATTAACAATTTTCAAGAGTCATTCACCAGCACAGTTGAGTGTACGATTACAATTTGTTGTTGCTGATGAGAACTAAATGCTGAATATATCAAGGAATTGATGTGAATAAAACTTTGAAATATGTGACTTACATTGAAAATGGTATTCATTGAAACCATTCCAGTAAAGAGCACTCTTGCCTTACATAATAATTCCAATAATATTCTATGAATATAGGCAGAACTCGGGGTTGAACATTGAAATGAAACATTTGATGGGTCTTTAATGTTAACACAGCTTTCCTGCTCATGACTCACTGTTCTCTGAGGATGCTAAACTGTTTCTCAAGATCCAAAACGTCAGTGGCATACATCAACCTCCGCTCATCACACTCCTGTTCATCCAAATCTGAAAAATACATACAATTGCATACAAGTAATTGTAGCCATTGCACAGCAAGCCCATTGCAATAGCTATAAAACACTCAACAACTGAATAAAAAATTTGTTAACATCTTTATCAATGTTAAATTAACCAGATTGCTCATTTTGATGAATTTCTAATTCATTAGTTCAAACAAATATCACAGACCAAAAATATGATAAAATATCAATGAAATTTCATACAGACATTTTCAGCCTTCTTGCTATTGAATTTAAAAGTAGCATAATTCACAAAATTAGAAAAAAACATCTACTTGCCTGATGATTCTTCTGAATCAGATCCTTCAGTTAAATTGAAGTCATCTTCAGTGGAGTGCTCACTATCAGAATCTTGATCCACCTCTTCATTGTCTGATTCATCTCGGCAACGCTTCACACCTGGCATTCTGCTGAAAAATTGGGTATCATAGCAGAAGTAACCATGTAACAATCAATAGCATTAATAACACAAAGTAATAGGTGAAATAATAGTTTGTAGGTTAATGAAAAATATATATATATATATATGCTGATTGTCAATAAAATGTTCCCAGGCAGAGAAAAAAAGATGCTTCAAACTGTAATACTTGGCAAATTTGTTAATAAGACTGAACACAATGGACATAATTAAACCAAGGATAGAAAAAATACCATCAAGAATACTCTTGTATTAATTAGGAAGAACCAAAAAAACAACTTTTTTGGAAATTTACTATCTGACAATTTGGTAGACACCTGCCAAATGAACCCTCCTTCACAAGATTTTCTATACAAACACTCATCCAGTCAGTAAAAAGCCATTGAAGATTGCATAAATCTTGAATATCCTCATAATTTTGACTTAAAAATTAAATTTCAAAAGTAAACTTGGGTTATTGGGGCCCAAGGACAAATAAAGTTTAATGACCTAAGCTAAATAAACATTTAATAATCAATGATGGATGAAGAAATAAAATATGGCACAAATTGATTTAGGCTTAGAGGCTTTTCTTGCTAAATATGCAAGTTAAGCAACATACTTGCAACTTGCAAATATGCAAGTTAAGCAACATACTTGCTGCTTCAGCCTTAAGATAAAGATAGTATTCTTGTTCAATTATGCCACTGAAACTTATACTTAAGCTTAACTTAAGGCCACACTCAGGATTATGCAGGTTTTTGGGGAATTTTCCCACACATAATGAGTTTTAAATTTTATCTTCACGCAGATGTTGGTGCAAATTCCAGTCATCCATTTCACCCTGCGCAGTCATCAGCGCAAATCCAGTTTGTCAAGGAACAGTTGAACAGACAAAAAAACTCAAAATATTCAATGTGTGTTTAATTATATTTCAATTGTATATGATTTTCCTTGATATGAAAATTTTGTAAAAGTAAAAATCTAGAAATTTATTTTAGAAGAAATTATCTACAAATTTCTTATGGCCATTGTTTGTTTACCTTCTGTATCTAGGTTATCAAATATTCTGTCTGGTTTTTTTATTTTGCTGTTCTATATATACTATACTAATCATTCGTAGAACCTCTAATAGGGTTATTGGAGGTTCTAAGGTTAATGAACAAATTCAGAATTAATTTCATCCTAATTAATGAAAAAATAGTTTTTGAGTGCAAAAACTTTTGTAAATAAAATATGTCTAGACATAGCTGTCTTCAGAATTCCCAACAACAACAATGGTTGGCAACATTGGACAACAATAATGGTTGGCAACAACAATGGCAACATTGTCTTTACAGACTTTCACCTAATGCTGATACATCATCATGTGTCATGTGATGTGTCCCTTGAAGCTATTCAGATTTTATTAACATTTGTTGTTTGTCTATATAATTAACCTTCAAGGTTGCAAAAAATGAGAACTGATAAATTCGGGTGCCTGTATTTCTTTATTCAATGGGTTTGAGCCACGCAATCCCATTCCACCGGCCGGGAGGATGTTGGGAACATAACATATTCCCGACATTTACATGCGATGATACGGGTTTGTACTATTTGCCAAAATCAGTCCATTAGAAGGCACCAATCTCAAGCCATGTGGATTGTCACCTATTCTTCAGTTTTGTAATTCATGTCCAACTGAATTGTGATCTTTGAATAATGAATAAATATTCATAACTGTGCTGACCCTTAGCACCTGGGTTAACACATTAGAAATGTAGTCAACTTGATGCTGGTATACTTTCATGTGTGATGGCGTTGTGGCCCTACCATATACATATACCATATCGTTGCCGCACATTCATCTTCAAACAACTTTTGGAGCATGGCGCTGGGTGCACGGCGCAGCATTTTTTTACCGGCCTATTACAGCGCACAGTGCAGATTGATAAAATGACAATATAAATTCCCGTGCAGTGCACCTGGCAGATCTTCCTGACCATGGATTAAGGGCAGCTTGTTGTTACTCTCATTAGCTACTTAGCTAGTTTAGCATGCTCACAAAGAGAAAGAGAACAGGTCATGATGTTAAGAGCCATTTGTGTTGAAACTTGCAACATTAATGAGAGTCTAAGAAAATATTAGGTAGGGTAAATGTGGTATATTCCGACATCGTGGGTAATTCTGACACCTCTCTAGTTTTTCCTTTATATTAAGCTTTGTCTTAGTTCCACGCATTTGTTGATGGTTGAAATAGTGACATCATACCTTTGCGCACCAAACTATTGCCAAAACACTAGGTCTGGGCCGTCTGGCGGGAAAATGTTGACATCCAAAGACAAAGAGAGACAGTGCACGCCACCCAGTGAGATCATCGAAAAATGTGTCAAAGTTGACAGTTGACCTTGCTTAAGGTAAAGGCCGCAAAGATGTCATCTCTGATCTTGCCAACGAGAGCACTCGTGAACTGCTGGATAGAGAGAGAAGAAAACTTAATCTTGTTTGGTTTAACGTTCCCGAAAGCAATGCTGCGGATGCTGAGTTTATTACTGATTGCTGTGCCAAGGCACTTAACGTTGTTGTGAATATAACGGCATGCAAGAGGCTGCGATCGAAAGATGCTACCGCCTGTAGACCGGCAAGACCGCTGCTGGTAACTGTGCATGAATAGTTTGACTTGTGGATAGTTCTGTTATAAAGTTGAAGACTTCCTAATTCTCACTATTATTTGCCTCTTTTTGAGATATTTAATCACTTCTAACTTGCCACGAGATTAAATCTGAAATACAACTTTTTGTTCTAAATTTATTGGGTTAATTCATTGATTTTCTATCCTCTGATACAAATTAGAAATTGGTCAGGTTGCTTGGCCAGAGTGGCAGTAAACGGCACGGTGATTCACGGTTCTCATATCAAAACAACGAACTAGTTAGCAAAGGGGCAATGATAACACATGAAGATAAATTCTATAGTTACTATATTATAGGAACCTAGGCTAATACATTGGCAAGTCGGCGAAGCTAAGACACGATTTACAGGATATAGTCCTATACTGTCACACAAAAAAATAAAGAGCTGACAGAATTTACACAGAAATAGTATGTGTTTCAAACGGTATCCTACCCCGACCTATCTACCCAGTTATTTCATTTCTATGGTCCCCGTCTCTACGGAAAATAAGACAGTTTCTAAATATTTCCCGAATTACATCACCGGAATTTGTGGATGACTGTGGAGCCACGGTGCAGCGGACGGCGCGTTTTGTGGATGACGGTCTTGGTTACTTCTGTAGATGCTGTTATCCCGGAGTGGAATTCTAACTCACAGTGGAATACTTGCAGACTTTACTTCAGTCATAATCCGAGCAATATTTTTGGGTTGTCGTTGGTTTCTTGTAGGCATCGTTGGCTGACACTGCTCCGGAACTTATACTGTTGAATACTTGTAGACTTTGCTTCGGTCATACTCTGGGCAATATTTTACGGTTGTCGTCGGTTTATTGCAGGCGTCGTTGGCTAATACTTCTCCGGAACTTACACTGTTGAATACTTGTAGACTTTGCTTCGGTCGTACTCCGGGCAATAATTTTGGGTTGTCGTCGGTTTATTGTAGGCGTCATTGGCAAATACTTCCTCGGAACTCACACGTAGACTTGGCTTCGGTAACTTGCAACACTTTTTATCTCACGCACGCTACAACAACATGCGGAATACAAGGACCTCTGCGCTTAACTGACTGCGCTTGAACTAACTCCGCGCTCGACTGGCTCTTCTTTAGCGAGCGTGGCTCGCGACTCTTCTTTACAGCGACTCTTCTTTATATAGTCCCACTCTATCGTATAGACCCGCCCTCTGGCGGTTGGCTTGAATCGATCCCTACTAATTCCTACACTAATCATGCAGGATACAGCCCAGGTTGGACATGTGCTTAAGGCTGCGAGAAAACTAAGTGAATCCACAGAGTTTAATTCAGTCTTTGTCAAGAAGGATGCTACCCCTTTGGAGAGAGAAAATTTTCGCAAGAAATGGCAGGAGAGACTCAGGCGGAAAAGTATGGAGACTCGGGTCAACCAATTTCACGATGTCAAGACAACACCAACCACACACGGTCAGTCAGCAGAGCTGGAAGACAAGTAAGAAGTCATGTCCATAGAACCAGGCCTGTAAATAATGTAAGAAATAAATGCATGAATCAAAGTGAAAGTGCAGAAAAAGCTGTAAAATGTTTTTACACAAACTCGGATTCCGCTTTGAACAAAAGAAGTGAACTATTAAGTGTGATTGAGAATGAGCGCATAGACATTATTTGTATTACAGAAAAACTCCCTAAAAATCATGGGGGGAAAATTTTACCTGTTGAACTTCAGTTGCCAGGTTTTGATTGTTTTCATAACTTAAATGAAGAGCAGTGCAGTAGAGGTGTAGCTTTGTGGGTTAGAACCTCTTATGGGGCCCAGCAAGTCAAGTTATCTGCAGAACATCTAGCAGCTAGAGAATCAGTGTGGTGCAAACTTACTCTAAAAGGCAAAGATAGCCTCCTCATAGGCGTCGTGTATAGATTACCTAACAGTTTTTCTGATAACGATAAAGTACTAAACAGTCTTTTACCAAGCATGACTTGCCGTAGGTCACACACGTTGATTGTTGGTGATTTTAATCATCCAGAGCTAGACTGGATAGATGGATCCTCTCTAAGGGAAGAGAATCACCCAGCATCCTTGTTCATGGAGTCAGTAAGAGACTCCTTCCTAGTCCAGCACGTTACCAAACCAACCCATTATAGAAGTAAACAGACTCACAATATTCTAGACCTGGTGTTTACCAGTGATGAATCAATGTTGGATGAGCTTCGTCACGAGGCTCTGTTGGGCAAAAGCCATCACCAATCTTTGTTTTTCAGACTTGAGTGCTGTACAGAAAAGTCGCCTTGGAAGCGTGAGCGTTTGAATTTTGCGATAGGCGACTATGATAAACTCCATGAAGCAGTGAATATTTCGAACTGTGTTAAGGACATGAATGTGGCTGAGTCATGGTCANTTTGGAAACGTCGTATGGTCACCGAAATTTGAAAAGGTAGATGTGTATAAGAG